GGCAATCTTTTAGTCCTAATAGGATTTGTTAGTATAGAGATTCAAGTGAGGTTGTCCTTTTAACCTTACACTTCTCTGCTGAACCAGTTCAAGTTTGCAGCATTGCCTACAACTTCCAACAAATATTTCAAAACACTGTAGAAGCATCTAAAAATCATTTTAATCATTACAGGCAATGTACAGGAGCTGCCTTTTTATTGACCTTGTACTAGTACTAGCTGTTTCATTTTTTTACAAAAGATTTATTTTTATTTATTTGAAAGGCAAAGTTACAGAGAGAGGGGGGGAGAAAGAGAGAGAGAGAATCTTCCATCTACTGGTTCATTCCCCAAATGGTGGCAACGGCTAAGGCTGGGCCAGATGGAAGCCAGGAGCTTATTCCAGGTCTCCCACGTGGGTGCAGGGGTAAGGACTTGGGCCATCTTCTGCTGCTTTCTCAGGCCATTAGCAGGGAGCTGGATTGGAAATGGAGCAGCCAGGACTAGAACTTGTGCCCATATGGCATTGCAGGCAGCAGCTTTACCCACTGTGTCACAGCGCCAGCCCCAGTACTAGTTCTTTCTACAGCACTGATCCTTAGACTGCTGAGGAACAGTCTCTGGAGTCAGACAGATCTGCAGTTAGATCCACCTTGACTCCTCACCAGCTCTGTCATTGCAGCCGCATTTCCTCGGATCTCTGGGCTTCAATGTCCACATTTGTGAAATAAGGGTAATTAAAGTAGCTACTGCTTGGGATGGTTGTGAGAATTCAATATGCTAATGTATTTGAAGCACTTGGTTCTGTGCCTCACAGGGAGCAGTGTTAGGATTCTTTAAAATTCCATCTTCTTTTCCCTTACATATTACTTCCTGATGTTTTCTTTTCCCAGTCTGAGCCTCTGCTGTTGTTTATTATGCCCAGTTCTTGGGCACTGCATAAGACCCTGTCTTCACCTTCATTTTTCTCTGTTGGAACGTTCATGCCTTTCTAATTGTCACAGCACCCAAGCAAGAATGCATAGCATTGTCCTGGACAATCCTTTTCTTCAACATCATGGCATCTCAGTCTGCAGTGCTTTTGAGACTATCATTATTCACTTAATATAACGCTTTTGACTTTCATCCATTTGATGGTTAGTTCCTTGCTAAATAATACTCCAATGTATAGATGTACCATAATGTCTATCCATTCACCAGTTACTGGATATTTAGGTGATTTACACATTTGGTTCATTCTAAATAAAACTCTGAAAACATTTGCATGCAGGTGTACTGTGGACATATGTCTTAATTTCTCATGGGTAAAAACCTACAAGTGGCATTGCTGGGTTATAAGGTAACTCTATCAGAAACTGCAAACTGTTTTCCCAAGTTGTTGTATTGTTTGTAATCTCACCAATAGTGTTAAAGAATTCCATGCATCCTCCTCTCCAACATTCAGAATTGTTAAACCTCCTCCTTTTTTTTTTTAAGTTGAACCATCCTAATAGATGTGTAGTAAATGAATGCCCTTGTAGAGTTAAATAAATTACTTGGAAAACCACTTAGTCACAACACTATCATCAGTGAGATCAACAATACCAACAGATGATTCACTTCTGTTTGAAACCTGGCCATGGCAACCTGCCACTAGGATTTGAAAGCTTCTCTGAACCCCTTAGGGCTGAGAGGGTCCAGAATAAATATCTATGGTACAAGGTATAAATGTCCACAGTGAGACTGATGTTTAGAGATGTTAAGTCTAGTGTGAAGCAGACGCATCAATGAATAATGTTTCCCAGCGGCTGTTCTCCCCTATTACAGCCTCATCATCTGCCTTTCAGACTTTGGCCACTAGGCGAGGTTCCTTACAAACACTCCAGGCGTGCACTTGGTCTTTTAGCTGTTTTTGTTGTTCACTTGTCTATCCAAGCTATTTATGAGGTGTACTTGCAAAGAAATGAGCCTGCTTTATGTCTTGTGCTTTGTCACACCACATATGCTGGTTTGGCTAGAATGAGGTTCTGAAACATCTTACCAACTTGCTGCTCAGATTATATATTTTTTTCGTTTTTCCTCTGAATCTTCAAATTTCTACCAAATATGCTCTTCTTTTCTTAAGAATATCATATGTTAACAGGCCATGATATTCCCTCAGCAGATTTAAGTTTTCCGTTCTTCCAACTCCGCTGAGGAAGAGTTCAAATCGCTGACTCAGGTTAAAGATGAGTTGCCATCTTTACTTTCCGCCCTATATAAACTACCTGGTTCGTCAAAAAAAAAAAAAAAAGTTAAACCAACAAACCTTGTTAACTCTTGTTCCCTAACCAGAAGAGCTGTATGGTGCTGATGGTATTTTTATCATGCTCATTTCCATTATGTTCTCTCGCCTACCTACAGCTCTTCATTCTGCTGTAGACAGTTCATGAAAACATGTTATGGGGAAAACTACATTGGTCTCACATTTTTTGCACCGAAATAAACTGATCTTTTAATTCCATATTCCATGGACTTCTTAAGGCACCCTAATATGTAACTATTCCCTAACATACAAATAGTTATGATCAATTTTCAGAAAGAGTTCTTACTAAAATCATACCTCTGTACGTAATAGATGTCACCCACATCCGATCCAAAGGCAGCCATTTCCCACAAAACAAGAAGAGTTTTATAAAGTACCATATCCCCTTTTCACTGCTGCCTGGCACAAATTGCTGCCCACTCTAGGGGCAAAGAAAAAGAGGAAACATTGGTAAGAGAGATTCTTCTGGGACATTCCCAGCGGAATGGCTTAGGGTGGGGCGATGGCTAATAATGGCTCCCAAGAAATCCCACTGTCTTAAGAATGATGTCATTATCCCATCATCCTATACTCTCCCTCTGTCAGCTCAGGGAGAAGTTATGTTCCTGATGCCCCGTGCTCTTCTCACTGCTGAGTGCATTCATTCACAGAAGGACTTTAAGTGATTACTTCATAACAGACTGTTCAACCTAATTCTACTGATAGTTCGACACCTGTGTGTGGGGCAGTGCTGAGCACTAGTGATAGACCACAAACAAGAGAAAAACAGCTCCTGCCCTCAAGAAGCTCCTACTCTGATACCCTACATGACAGTGCTGTACATTTCCAACAATACTGTTTCCTCTTTTGGTTTTTAGTGAGAGGGTCTTGTTTTTTTTACGTTTATGTATTTATTTGAAATGCACACCAAGAGCAGGAGAGAGAGAGAGAGATCTATCTTTCATCTGATGTTGCTCACAACAGCCACAGCTGGGCCAGGCTGAAGCCAGGAACCAAGGGCTCGATCCAGGTCTCATACATGGTTGGCAGGACTTGATCCTGGGCACTCCCATGTGGGATGCAGGCATCTGGAGCAGCAGCTTAACCTGCTGTAACACAACACCCACCCATGTTTTCCTCTTTTGAATGAAAGTTGTGAAAGAAGTTTTTACTGCCATATTGGTACTTTCTGGCCTCAAGTGGTTTATCATGCTGTTTGAGAAGCACTAGTCAGACAAGCTACTAGTTAAATAGGCTGATAGCAATGGCTCCTGAGTGCAGGAGGAATCAAAACAAAGCAGATGTTGTTAATGCCCTTCTGTTTATTCCAGAACACCAGCCAACAGCCTTTTAAAATAAGACATTTCTTTGCCCTACCTCCTGACTCTCTGTAAAAATTAATGTGTGTAATATCTACAAAGTCCATGTGATCTGTACTCACTCCACCCCATTCCCCACCTCTCGATTCTCATCCTCTTACTGTCCCCTCTGTTTCTGCAGCCAGCTTGATCTTGCTTTTCCCCAAAATACCTGGCACTAAGCTGCTATGGAGCCTTCATACTTGGCAGTCCCGTCTTCCAGGTACCTGCACAGCTCCCCCTAGGTGACACCTTCCTAAAAACACTATGTTCACTTTCACTCTCCCTCACCTCCCCTGCCACTTCTATACCCTTTCACTGGGCTAGTTTTCTCCTTGGCACTCTATACATCTGACATATTTGCTTATTTATTTCTTTATGGTCTGTTCCTCCCACATGTAGTACATTAACTCCATAAAGGCAATGATTTTATCTTTTGTTGTTCACAGCTATATCTTAATATCTAGAAGAATGTCTGGCATATACTAGAGACACAGAAAGTATGTTTTGAGGATGGCATTCTAGTTAAGAAGGACAAAATGAGCAAAGGCATTTCTGGAGAAATAGGGATTTGTATGATGTGTGGGAGAAACTAGCAGAGGTGGACTTAACTCTTAACAGATAAATAGTTTCTTGTTTGAGGAGAATTAAAAAAATTAATCAGGTGGCACCTCAAATATAGGCAAACAAATTGCAGGCAGGAGAGTGGATTTGATGTCAACTAGTCAATAGAGTTATTTCAGACTCCTAAGAAGAGTAAGCTAACAGGTAGTGTTTTAGGAACATCACTTAAAAAGTGGTATGGAAAGTAAATCAAAATGGAGAAAGACTGGATAAAAGAAAGCCAACTAATTACAGCAGCAATCTAAGCAAAAGGTTTAGGAAGAAGGCAGTGGGAAAGAGAAAGACAGGTCCAATATGGGAGAAACCTTATGAAAGAAAAATTAAGGGACTTGGTAGCTTTATTAAATGAAGAATAAAGGAAAGGGAGGAATCAAGATAATAAGTTCATTTAAAAATTTTAAATACTAAAATCTTTCTTAGTGTGTAAAGTGATTTTCATAATAATATGTGTGTACTATTTTGAGAACTGTCTACTTGGATTTAAAATCTAATGAAGATATAGTTAAAATATTTTGTATAATTCTTGTCAGTAAAGTTTAAAATTATTTTTCATTCATTTTCCCTTCTTTCCATGACTTTAAGCCATAATTTTTGAATTCTTATTTTTTGTTTATTTTATTCTGGTATAAATGGTGATGAAATGTTTCCCAATTTCCACATATTCTATTTTAATTAAATTAAGTCATTTTCTTCTTTCTGTGTAATATTAATACTTCGGACTTATACATGCAATTTCAAGATTTCTGATTTCACCTTTTAAATTGTGTTCTGTTTCAGATTTGGTGTGAAGAAGAAGCCAATTTACATTAATGTCATAAGGGATCCTATTGAGAGGCTGGTTTCCTACTATTATTTTCTGAGATTTGGAGATGATTATAGACCAGGGTTAAGGAGACGAAAACAAGGAGACAAAAAGGTAATATTGTAGTTTTAAGATTTTAATAAAGACAGTTATTTATGAAATACAGTGAGCAATGTGCTTTTCAAATTTGTTATTGATTATAAATGTACTATTTGCTTATTGTGGATATTTTGAAAAGAGCTCAAAAGTATATAGTATATATAACTGATATAATATACATAATGATGGCAGTGTTAAAAATATTAGCAGTTTTCTGAGACCACTATAATGATTCATAAATACATGTTTTTATGTGGACGTTTGTTCTCTTGGTGTGGATAATAACAATTTATTTGTGGTTATCAGAATAGTGATGCTGCTTTGCTAAAGCAGCTGTTTTTTTCAGGCAAGGAAGGAATTACATTCACATTGGGGTTATCTGCCATTTCAGTGTACTCTCTGGAAGATCACCAGAGTTATTTTTCTGAAAAAGCAAACTGAATTGACACTTTTCTGGGGGAACACACTTACTAGGAACATGTTGCTCATAAAAGTACCCAGGGCATGGGACGAAACCTGACATGGCCTGAGGCCTTTGTTTCCTGCCTACTTTCCCACCAGGTTCTTAGTGCCCCAGCCACAGGAAATGTCACCACCTTTCAAACTTAATGTTACTTCATATTTTTGCACATGTGTTGTTCCCTGTATCTAGAATGTCTTTCCTTCAGTCTGGAAAAAAAATCTTTGCCTGCCTTGTCAGATCCAGCTCCAATCCCTTTCAAGGCTCCCAGAACACTCCATTAAAATCCATATTTTTAAGCGTTTATTTTGTTTTATTTGTATTATCTGTTTACATATTGTCTTCTCCCCAACATGGTGAACTTCCTGAAAAGTATTTCACTCATATCAATTTCCCTAATGTTTAACAGTGTACTTAGTTTACCTGTAAGTGCTTAACAGATGGTTGAATGTGTGAATTCTGCACATTTAAAACTCAAGTGTTAGTAGTGATGCTGGATACTTGGTATATAATCACTTCTCAACTTTATGGCTAAGATCAAGTGACACTTGGTATATCATGATAATCAACATCCTACAGTTGATTCTTTTCTGTTAGATGTGCCCTCGTTATGATTTGAGAGGGCAGCGGGTTTTGTTGTGTTTTTCTTTTGTTTGTTTTCTGGAAATCCGCTGTTCCTTTCCTTAGTCTTCAAAGCTTTAGGCTGAAAGTATTAATGCAAACACATGCAACTGATCAAATCTTTGTTTTTTTGTTTTTTCAGTCTCCAGCTTTCTCTTAGCATTATTTAATCTTCTGAAAATACCTAGGTTACAGAGATTCCACAGTACTATAAGATCTATTCATACAACTCTTGTGTGACATAGAACTTCAGAATGTAGTGGTATTTATTTCTAAATTCACTCTAACCTTTACTGCTTTATTTTAGCCCCATCATTTATGTTAGTATCCATCTCCTTCCTTCAACCAATGGAATATTAATGTCGATAAGAAAGATTTGCTGTCATATGAGTCCCTGCATCCACCATTTGTCAACCAAGTATTAGGTTATTTACATATATGTATTTCTTTGGGTGGCTTACACAATTCTCTAGGGTAATTTTGTTAATGCCATTATTTTGTAGGTAAGAACACTAGGCACAGAAAGGTTAACTCTCATGCCCAGTGTCATACAACTAACAACCTAAGCACTGTAATTTCAGAGCCCATAGTCTTAATCCCTCTCACATCCTTTTTAAAGCAGGAAAGAAATACAACATCCTACTCAGCGTTTTTATATGAAAGATTTTCTGAAATTGCATTTTTAATATGGTAAAATCAAGGAGATACCGTAACATCATCCCTCTTTCATTTTTGAAACTTTTAAGTAGAGAGGCCATCCTAGGGCTTTAACCACTCTTCACCATGACCTGGATAGAGCTCACTTTGTTTTTGTTTTTGAATGTCATTATAAAATACATACTGACACTTCTGTTCATTTAGCTATAGTATTAGTAACATCAGCAGGAAACTATGTATTGTCTTACCTCTCATGAGGACAGGGCCGCTATGAATAAATGCTTTATTAAAGTGAAAAATTATTTTGTTTTGTGATGGATAGTTTGGACCTCTGCAATTGCAAAACATACTGATTAGACATTTTTAATAATTTGGCTTTTTTCTCATGATATTAATACTGTTAACATTCTAGGATATAATGAGCAAAATGATGTTTTATTGTAAATAACTACTTTTTAAAGATTTATTTATTTATCTGAAAGGCAGAGTTAGAGAGAGAGAGAGAGAGATCTTCCTTATGCTGGTTCACTCCTGAAATGGCTGCAAGGGCCAGGGCTGGGTCATTCTGAAACTAGGTGCCAGGAGCTGCTTCTGAATCACCCACGTGGTTACAGGGGCCCGAGCATTTGGGCCCTCTTCTGCTCTTTTCTCAGGCATGTTAACAGGGAGCTGGGTTAATCCTCTGCCTGCGGCGCTGGCATCCCATATGGGCACAGGTTCTAGTCCTGGCTGCCCCTCTTCCAATCCAGCTCTCTGCTGTGGCCTGGGAAAGCATGAGAGACCAGGAAGAAGCACCTGGCTCCTGGCTTTATATTGGTGCAGCTCCAGCTGTTGTCATCTGGGGAGTAAACCAACGGAAGGAAGACTTTCTCTCTGTCTCTCCTTCTCACTGACTATAATTCTACCTCTCAAATAAATAAATAAATAAATAAAGTCTTAAAAAAAAAAAAAACAAAACAAAACAAAAAAAAAAACGAGGAGCTGGATCAGAAATGGAGCAGCCAGGAGTTGAACTGGCGCTCATATAGTATGCTAGCACCACAGGCAGTGGCTTTACGCACTGTGTCACACCATTGGCCCCAAATAACTTCTTAATGTCTTTAACTGAAAGGGTTTCCATTAAATTCATTTCCTTAAAGTTGGTAAGAACTCATGCATATAACATTTCTAAAAATGGAAGGGTATTGGGAGATACTGGGGATTAAAGGGTGACTATGGTGATGTTGAAACTATCTTACTATGGCACTTATTCTGAAAAAGTTCTAGATAGCTTCATTTCCATGAAATTATATATTATTTGCACCTTAAGTGATACTTTGAAACATATTACACAATATTCAATTCAGAACTTGTAACTACTATTATGTTTTAAACTACAGCATTCCAATAATCTGAACTGCTTACTAGTTACAATGTCAAATTGTTATTTCAAAGTCATTTCTGATAAGTGTACACCTGGGTTGTTTTCAGCTGATTTTGTATGAAACAAGCAATGTGTTTTATTTGGAGGATGTCAAATACTCTGTTTTCATATTTTATAAATAGAATTTTACTTAATCTCTGCAGTACATGGGATCAGAGGTCAGCATTGGATAACTATATAGATTAAATCAGTGATCTTCAAACTTCTTCATGTGGAAACTCCTTTTATACTCTTAAAAGTGATAGTGAACCCCCAAAGAGGCTTTTCTATGTGGGTTATTGGTACTGATGTTACCAATATCAGTAAATTTATCAGTTCACTAAGAATATTTAAAATATCAATGTTAAAACAATAGTAGGAAACCCATCTTATATTAACATAAATAATATCTTAATGCACATAATCATTTCACCTTCTCCACAAATAAATACAGGCATATTGAATTTTTGCTAATCTTTTTTTAAAGATTTATTTTATTTATTTGACAGGTAGAGTTACACGGAGAGGTAGAGACAGAGAGTGAGAAGTTTTCCATCCACTGGTTCACTCCCAAAATAGCCACAACAACCAGAGTTGGGCCAGACTGAAGGCAGCAGCCAGGAGCTTCCTCCAGGTCTCCCATGTGGGTGCAGGGGCCCAAGGACTTGAGCCACCCTCTGCTGCTTTCCCAGGTGCATTAGCAAGGAGCTGGGACTTGAACAAGTGCCCACTGCAGGCCAGGGAAAACTTTACACTGCACCACAGGGCTGGCCGCTGGTAATCTTTTTAGTATCTAGCTTAATATAGATGGTCTGATTTTTCTTATCTGTTACTGCATTCAGTGTGTCCAGTATGTTCATTTGGTTGAGTTAAATAAAGAAAATCCACCTTAACAGATATGTAATTGGATAAGGTGGAATTTTAATAGTCTTTTCAGAAAATTGTGGCTGGTCTTCTTTCATACTATACTAAAACTTGACTGGGATAGTTTCTTAAAGGCAGTTGCAATGTGGAATCTAAATGGGCAGGAAAACAGTTTCCGTCTCATCAGGTAAGTGAAACGAGAACTGAAAAACTGTCCCTTGGGTTTGTCAGTGGGTTATGTGGCATCCAAAGGGTTTAGGAGTGACTGAAAATGGAGACGTTGAGACTGAGAGGAAAGACTACTCTTGAGAGAAATTTGATTTTGAAAGGAACAACAGCAAATCAGGGAATGTTTCTTTAAAATAACAGACACTGGACATATCCATATATTTGAAGAGAGCAAAAGGTTGAATGATACACAAAAAAAAATGGAGAAAATTTGGAGGCAGAGGATCTCAGAAGTGGATGAAAATGTTACTCAGAGATAGGAGAATGGGGGCTGGCGCCTGCACTGCAGGCAGCAGCTTTACCAGCTATGCCACAGCACCGGCCCCTGGATTTGTTTTTTCTTTTAAAATATTGGCAGCCATTGAAGAGTTCTGAGTAGAAAATGTTAGAAGTTACTGCTTTGGCTAATCTAGAAACTGTTCAGATAGAAGGAAAGCTGTGAAAGCAGCCTAATTAGGAAGCCGTTGTAAGAATCGAGAGTTTATGCAGTGAGGTCCTGATGGAAGAGAAAATTGAAAAAGAAAAGCTGGATTGGAAAGACATGACCTCGAGGATGTGAGGTGAGGGAGAAGAAAGTTTAAGAAATGATCTGCTGGCCCGATGCTGTGGTGTAGTGGGTAGAGCTGCCGCTTACAGTGCCAACATCCCATGTGGGCACCAGTTCTAGTCCCAACTGCTCCACTTCCAATCCAGCTCTCTGCTATGGCCTGTGGAAGCAATAGAAGATGACCCAAGTCCCTGGGCCCCTGTACCCTTATGGGAGAACTGGAAGAGGCTCCTGGCTTCAGATTGGCACAGCTCCGGCCGTTGTGGCCAACTAGGAAGTAAACCAGCAAGTAGAAGACCTGTTTCTCTCACTGCCTTTCCTCTCTCTGTGTAACTCTGACTTTCAACTAAATAAATAAATCTTTAAAAAAAAAAAAAAAGAAATTATCTGAAATCTTGTGTGGATTACAAGGGGCAATATGATTCTATTGCCAAGAATATTGACTGTGAAGTAACACTGGCAATTCAAATAAGAATACATAATAGTTATTAGAAGATATAAAAAATTATAGATCTAGGAGTACAGATTTGGAAGTCCCTTTGACTAGGAATTATAAATTAATCCAAGGAAGTGTAATAAGTGGACCAAGAAAGGAAGTAGGGAAAAAGAGAAGACAGCTGACACAAGTTGTATATGGAGTAGAAGGACCAAAATGTGACTTCAAAGAAGATTACAATAGTAAATTTAAAAGGTACAGAGAACCCATGAAACAAGCCAAAGCAGGGAGTGTTCCAAGAAAACAGAAAAGAATGCATTAGTGACAGAGAGATCAAAAGACTTGTTACAAAGAAGAGGGTAAGCTAAGTGCTATGAAGATCAAGGAAAACAAGAACCAACAAAACATGTGTTTGACTCTTAGGAGAGCGAGGTAAGGAAAGAGAGCCACAAACATAAACATATCCTGCCTGCCATGAACCACTCGTTGTGGAAGATTTATTCCTCAAAGTAAGATTATGTCTTCATTTTTTCAACTCAGGAGACTTAACACAACACTTAAATTTTTCAGGCTCAGAATTCAAACCCAAGTCAATGAGTCTTTGTACTCTATCTTGGTGCAGGTCATCTGTAAAAGAAATGGGTGAATAAAGTGTGGGCTGCAGTTTGCTCTTGTCTCTTTGAATGATGCCCAAATAAGGAGCATCATGCCTCTGTGGCTCCACCCACACCCCAACTGGGTTTAAGGATGCTTTGGCCTTGTTGTAGATTTTTGTTTGAAAATGACCTCTAAGATGGTCTAACTGTAGAGATTTGAAAAGTAAGGCCTGGAGGCCTTGAAGACTTACCTAAAATAGGGTCAAGCCTAGTTCTAGAAATTCAGAAACTGTGGCTCTAGGCAAGTGCTCTTTCATACTTCATCTTGGGGGAAATAGCATATGTATTTGTAGATATCTTACTGCAGCAGCCAAGCTTCCCAGCTTTGTCTGTGGTATCTCTGATTGTTTTGTTTTTAAACTTTTATGTTTTTGTTTGTTTCTTTATTTGAAAGGCAGAGGGGAGGACAGGAAGAGAGATTTTCAATTCACTGGTTCACTCTTCAAATGCCTGCATAGCAGGCCCTGGGCCAAGCTGAAGCCAGGAGTTGGATCTCTCATCCAGGCCCCTCGTGTAGATAGCAGGAACCCAAGTTCTTGGGCTGTATCATCTGCTGCTTCCCAGGCACACTAGCAGGAAGCTAGATCTGCTGCAGAGGCAGGATTCAATCCCAGGCGCTCCAGTATAGGATGTGGACGGCCTGTGTAGCAGCTTAACCCTCTGTACTACAACACCCACCCCTATGGGTTTTTTTTTAATATATATAATTTTAAAAAATATTAACTAACATAAAAATTGTACTTATGTATGGATTACCATGTGATATTTTAATACACCTGTTGTGTAATATCTAATCAGCTTAAACTTAATCTGTCTCCTCAAACAGCACTTCTTTAGGTGAAAACATTCAAAATCCTGTCTTTTTTGTTTGTGTTTTGTGTTTTGTTTTTGTTTTTTTTTTGTTTTGTTTTGTTTTGTTTTGTTTTGTTTGACAGGCAGAGTGGACAGTGAGAGAGAGAGACAGAGAGGAAGGTCTTCCTTTTGCCGTTGGTTCATTCTCCAGTGGCTGCCACGGCTGGTGCGCTGCGGCCGGCGCACTGTGCTGATCCGATGGCAGGAGCCAGGTGCTTCTCCTGGTCTCCCATGGGGTGCAGGGCCCAAGCACTTGGGCCATCCTCCACTGCACTCCTGGGCCATAGCAGAGAGCTGGCCTGGAAGAAGGGCAACTGGGACAGAATCCGGCGCCCTGACCGGGACTAGAACCCGGTGTGCTGGCGCCGCTAGGTGGAGGATTAGCCTAGTGAGCCGCGGCGCTGGCCATCCTGTCTTGTTTTTAAAAATGTTTACTTTTTGAGAAATATGTGGTATATTAACATTGCTTATATTTACCCAACTGAGCACCAGAATGCCTGAACTCCCAACTTCTCTCTAACTGTAACATAGTACCTGTTAAATAACTTTTCCCCATCCCTCCCAGCCCCTTCTCTTTCTAGCCTCTGGTACCCAGCATTATATTCTTAACTTTTATGAGATCAATGTTCTTAGATTCTGTGCGCAAGTAGCATCAGGTGGTGCTTGTGTTTCTGTGTTTAATTTATTATGTCTGACATTATCACCTCCATTTCCACCCATGCTGCTACAAATGAGATTTTGTCTTTTTTATGGCTGAGTAGTATTCCATTGTTTATATCTATCTCACTTTCTTTATCCGTATTTTGTCTCTTTCTTGATTATGGGTTATTGTGAGTAGTGCTGCAATAAACATCAGAGTAAGTTCTCTCTTCAGCAGACTTATTGCATTTCTCTTGGTAAAGTCCCCTATGTTCATCTCAAATAGATAATTTGCTTTGCTGAGAAAATATAAGTACACAAATCCAGCATAATCCAGTACTTACATTCAAGTACATATGATTTGGGAGGGTGTCTATTCACACAGTAAAAGAATTCTTACAAACATTGGCATAGAACAAAGTTGTGAGAAGCATCCGTGTTTTCCTTTCCTCGATAACCTACCTTTTCCTTTCACATTATGACATCATCCCACCTGCTCGTGCCCTTTTATTTAATAACTTAGCACATTAAGATGTTGAAACAGCAGGCTCAGAATTACGTCTCACGTGTGCTGCTTTGTCTGCGCTCCAGACCTTTGATGAATGTGTAGCCGAGGGCGGCTCCGACTGTGCTCCTGAGAAGCTCTGGCTTCAAATTCCATTCTTCTGTGGCCACAGCTCCGAATGCTGGTAGGGAGACAACCTTAGCTTGAATTTGCTGTTTTCCTTCTTATCTTCCTTATTGTATTTCAAGAGAATGAATGTGATAGTCAAGGGCTAGGTACAGGGAGATCAGTGAAGGACCAGACAAAAAATAACATACCTACTTTTGTGGTAACCTTGAAATGCATTAAAAAAAAAAAGTCTCGTTTATAATATCCTCACAATATTTTTTCAGATTCTGGTTTTGATTTTTTTTTCTTTCTTTGTTTGTTTATTTGCTGAATTCCACACAGCTCTGAATTAGAGACCAAAGGTCATTTTATAAATTGTGTTTTGTCCTGAGCTTACTGTTTGAGTCATTTGTGATAAATCAAGAAAAGGCTTAGTGGGTAAATTATTCACTTGATTTTACTGTTAAAGTGATTTTTGACTTTAAGTGGTGTCAAGGTTATGATTATGGTTTAGTCTGCTAATAAAAATGAGGTGGAAGATAAAAGTTATTTTTAATAAAGAATTTATTTTTTCAGAATGTGCTGAGTCTCCAGTTTCTGAAAGTAATTGTGCATACTTATTTGCCATATTCAATCACTGTAATAGGAAATGTAGAGGAAAACAGCACGTTCCATGTTACTGTATTCCTTAAAAACATGAGAAATGCAAGGAGTTTCTTCATTACTTGAGATATATTATTAAATTACTGTGAAGTTTAAGGTCCTAGTCTTTCAAAGCATCCTAATAGCCCAAGAAAAATTGAAAGAATGTGTTCTCAGTTGTTAGCCATTTCCTTGGAACAGAGATTGGCAAACTACAACCTGCAGATCAGGTTTGTCCCCTCACCTGTTTTTATAAATAAAGTTTTATCAAAACACAACCACGTACATTCGCTTAGTTATTGTCTATGGTTGTTTTCACGCCGGAACCCCAGACATGAGTGATTATGACCCAAAGCCTAGAATATTTGCTCTCGGGACCTTTGTAGAAAAAGCTCTGCAGCCCCTTAGCCTACAACTATAGAACATTGTGCTACTGGGCATTGTTGAGGTTTCAGTTGAACTTGTCTAATGTGTTCCGTAGTCAGAAAGCTGGAAGGGGCCTGCTAATGGTGGAGGAAACAGAATGGTAGAGCCCACCCACTGAAGACCACACTGCTGCTGAAAGGCAGAGCTAGAGCTGGGATTGAAGGATGTTGGTGCCAAAAGGAACCCGGAAGTGTTGTTTATTTAGGACGCAGTTTCTGTTCACAGCATTAGCTGACAGTGTAAACAAAAATAAAAATCAAAGAGTCTTAGCAGAGCTGTTTCTTCTCTGTTTTCTGTTCCTCAGAAATTTTGGAAAACACTAAGCTCACAAAAATCCTAAACAAATTAATACAAGCAGTAAGCATAAATTGTTTAGACCTTACAAGAGAGCTCTTAAAATGAACAAAGTTAAAGGAAATTAAGTGCTCTCACACTCCCTCAGATGGAAGGGATATATGTTACGTACAGATTTTTAAAAACTGCCCTCAAACTAAACTTTGTTCCTATTAAGAGAGGTCTAGTAAAGTTTGAATTAGCACCACATAGTTGAGCAGAAATTGGAGATGGAAGCAAAGGAAATTAAAAACAGGTGTCCTTACACAAAAGATGTTAATAAAAGGGCATTAAGTCTTTGGATGTACATGTGTTTATCTACTTTGTCCATAATATACAGCCTGAGAGGCATCAGAAATACTTAGCAGATTTCACAGCCCGGTTTCTAATTCCTCTGCTTTGGTTTCAGGAATGTGGGAAGCAGGTGGGCTATGGATCAAGCCAAGTATAACCTAGTTAATGAATACTTTCTGGTGGGAGTTACTGAAGAGCTTGAAGATTTCATCATGTTACTGGAGGCTGCTTTACCCCGGTTTTTTAGGGGCGCTACAGAACTCTACCGTACAGGTATATACATGACGGGTTTCTTTTTAAAGTTGTCCCTTAACTCTTTTCTTTGTTTACAACTTAAACAACAGACAGGGCATCTTAAAAAAGTTCATGGAAGATATGTACTATGAAAAAACTACACATGGACTTCAAATTTTTGCTCCAGAGTCACCTTCTTTTCATTCCTTTCATTTCTTTTTGCTCAGGTGCTAACACTCAGTCTGCATGATATGTTGAGAAATTAGAATTAGAAACAAGAATAGCTATTTTGTCATATTTTAGAAAAAAACTAGTTTAGAGCACCAAGAGCTTGCCAGTAGAGCATATGAGGTGACAGCCTTTTACCACTTGACATTCATTTAAGTCTAACGGGTTAAGGATTTGCATGCCAATGAAATAAATCACAATTCTGGTACGAAACGGGCTCCATTTTTGCCTGAACTGTTTTAATTTAATTATGTTACCCATCCTTCAATATGAACTTAAACCATCTTTTCAAATAGAGAGGCATTGATTCTGTATGTTCTCCAAGAATTATTTACCTTTCCTTTTTATCCTTTGTAAGTAGGAAAGAAATCTCATCTTAGGAAAACCACAGAGAAGAAACTTCCCACTAAGCAAACCATCGCAAAACTACAGCAGTCTGACATTTGGAAAATGGAGAATGAGTTCTATGAGTTTGCACTGGAGCAGTTCCAGTTCATCAGAGCCCATGCTGTTCGAGAAAAAGATGGAGACCTCTACATCCTCGCACAAAACTTTTTCTATGAAAAGATTTACCCCAAGTCGAACTGAGTCCGAGGTGTGACTGTTAGATTCCTGAACAAAAACTTTGACGCTGACGTCACCTTCATTCTCAGCTCTGCAACCTGGATTGCTGATCTTGTGTAAGATGGTTTGTGTCGAGCTGAGTTAGAATCGGTCATGTCGAGGAAGTAGATGCTGGCTGCTCTGTGTTGTAAAGGGTTTAAGTTTCAAGCATTTTTCTTTTTTCAGGTTAGATTTTGGTGAGAATTATAATCCCCACTTGCCTAAGGGAAAACAAGCTTACATCACCTAAAATAAACACATGGCAGGTCTAATCAAAAAGCTAAATGCAATTCAGAAAAGGGTCTGATAGTCTAGTTTTTGATAAAGCATTTTTTCGACTAACCATGAATGAAGATGAATCCATTTGCCACTTCCACCTTCCCCAGGGGTTTAGGTTAGAAATAGCGGTGGTAACTTGGGCAGCGTGTGCTTTGTTTCTGTGAATCACATCTCATGAAACTTATCCAGCTGTTTGTATTTGCTAAGAAATGTGACTGCTATAGTTGGAGTTACCCATTTTTATGTAGGTGGTTTTAAATTTTTTCAATAATCATTAGTGTTAAATACCAGTTTAAACCATGAATAATGCTATAAGAAGATGAAGAATCAAGGCAGTATTGCTCATTCCTGTCTCCCCAATATTTATTATTGGGAATACACTTCAAAGAAGGTTGGCAATGTCAGAAGTTTTAGCTAAGACTTAGGTGCATTAATATAAAAAAGTAAGTTTAGTATTTGTTCCTCCAGGGGTTGTTTGTCAAGATGTAAACTGAGCTATCGGCAACTATTAAGACTCCAGTGGTGAGCTGTGGTGTGGGTCGGGTTTTCTTACTTCTGTACTTTTACCTGTAGACTATTTTTACTAAGGTGCTTTATAATGTGTTTTAAAGCATTGCATTTACAAAAGAAAAAAAAAAGGAAAATGCTGTACATAGTGCATATTTTATGTATTTGGACCAAAAAGTTATAAGAAACTAGACAAAAGTGGTTTTGCACCAGTTTTATTATGTCAAGTAAAACCATCAGACCTACTGTTCTTGTATTTCTCATTTAACTGTACTGTTAAGACATCACTGACATGAATTTCAATGACCCTTCAATTTTGATACACAATGCATTATTCATATCTGGAGGTGGTAGTTGCGATGGAAAGAGTACTGGACGTGGAGTCATAAAACCTGATTTCTGGTGTTGGCTCTGCCACTTACCAGCTGTTGTGACTTAACCTCTCGTTGCCTCGACTTCCTTGTCTTGAAATGAGGCTGATAAGACCTGCTGTACCTACCTCACAGGGCTGTTGTGAGGCTGAGATGAGAGGGCACGTGAAGCACTTTGGAGCTGCAAAGCAGTGAAAAGCGTAAGGTATTAACTGTAGAAACATCTTTAACATGTGGTTTCAGACCATTCTTTTTTTTTTTTTTTCCTAACAGAGAAAAGTCCATTTGGGGTTGGGAAAAAGTTAATCTTGATGTAAAGTCGTGTTTGATAAATATCTTCTCAGTGTTTTATCTTCCATGTTTCAACAACTATTGAGCTGTGAAACCCCTGTGAACTCTTAACGATTCCTGAGCAGCTGCCCGAGTGCCAGGGGTTCTCTGTGGGAAGTGGACTTCATTAGCTGACCAGGGGCCCGGAAGCCTTGCTCTGCAAAGTCGACAGATTTCTTTTTTTCTCTTTTTTATTTTATATTGCCATTCAGAAATGGTAGCTATTTTATACCTCTGCTTTTTAAGGTATATTTTACAGGGTTTGATTTTCTTGTTCATTCTTCCCCTTCTTGAAGTAACAAAGATAAAGAATTTTAAGAACCCTTTTCTAAAAAGAATAATCTTTGATATGTTTCACTTAAGTAAATATTTCTTAAGGCTTCACCAAACTGCAAGCATTTTAGGCAGATTACGTTAAAGGTTATTAATTGTGTGGGAGAGAGGGAGGGAGCACTACTTCCAGAAAATATGTGTAACCCAATCAAAGGAATGACAGAATCATTTTAGCACCCTTGTCCCCCAGTAATATGAAAATATTAAGAGAACATAGCCAGAGGGAGGAGTGAAGCCTAGTGGTTAAGGTGCCATAAAAGACATCTGCATCCCACATGGGGCATTCCTGGTGCTGTTCCCTGGCTCCAGCTCTGTCTGCTGCTTCCTGCTAAAGCCAACCCTACAAGGCAGTGCTAATAGCTGAAGCACCTCCCACATGGGAGTCCTAGATCAACTTCCTGGCTCCTGGCTTTGACCCAGCCCTGTCCAGCCCCCTAGTCATTATGGGCGTTAGGAGAGTGAACCAGCAGATGGAAATATCCACCCCCCTCTCTGCCTCTCTGCCTTTCAATGTGTTTTTTTTAAGAGAGGGAACATAGCTAGACATATGTACTTTTCTGGATTTTATTTTCCCTTTATTTTGTTTTAAATTAACCTCTACAGGTATTTGCTGAAAACATACAAATTATTTCTTCACCCAAAAGTAAAGCACCTGCTAATGGAACACACCACAAGTTATTCTCAGAGTACATGCTAAGATCATCCTGAGGTGCATTAACTGTTTTAGAGACCTAGAGTTGCACTTAGTAGTGCACTGGAGCAGGCTCAGTAAACTTTCTGTAAAGAGCCAGAGAGTAAATTTTTGGCTTTGCAGGCTATATGGTCTCTGTCACAGTTCACACAGTTCAACTGCCATTGTTGCACAAAAGCAGCCATTGACATCATCTAAACAAATGAGCATGGTCATGTTCCAGTGAAACTTTACCTGTAAAAACAGATGACATACTAGACAGGAACCGCGGGCTACCAGCTCCTGCACTAGAGAAATCAGGATTTATGGAGAAGTCATATTTTCATCCATATTCAAGTGACCTAAAAGAGTTTATATGCTCCAAAAGCTCCTGACATATCCAAAGAATAGCACTCTGATTCACACATTCTCTCCCACAGAGTCACAAACTTTTAGGACTTCTCTTGCTTCCTAGTTTAACAGTTCAGAATAGGTGCATTTATTTGGTCATCTTTTAGGGTAGGAGTGTCCTTTCTGGAGACTGAGAAAAGGGCGGATTTAATTCCATCCAGTGAGTCCTTATGATGCCTACCTTTGTAATCGGTCACATGTGTGGAGCCACAAAGGCAGTAATGTATTTTTTTAAAGTGGCAAATGTGGTTTTCTTTGTTTCGGCCTTTGCGCTTTTTCAGTATTTTGATCATAGGGAGATATTTTTTTTATAATACAAAAGTAAATTAACCACTCTGAATTTCAAAGTAATGTTACGTGTGTATGTGTATATATCTATATCGATATCTATGTTTATTTCCTAAAAGAGGAAAAAGTACCTTTTTGTTCAACTTGTATCAACACCTGTTTTCTAATTGCTGTGAAATGGCAACTGTTGATAAATTATTGTGACTGTTTTAAAATGTAATGGGGAGGATATATTTTGATTTTTACCCAGCTTTAATCTGTAAAGTATCACTTAAATATATCTGATAGTAACACTTAAATATTGCATGGGAATTACTTTTCTGTCATCCATATGCATTGATGCAACTTTGAACATATCAGGTGTTTCTGAATTCCTGATGATTGGATTTAAACTATGGAAACTCAGATGACTTATACTGACTTTTACATTTTGAATTTAATTTTCTGTTCTTACAATTAAGTTGATGCCTAATTTGAAATCTGTTGCTCTTTCTTAATATATGTCCTATTGGAAGTTCCTAAAATTGTTAGTGCCATCCGTGATTTACAAACAGTATTTTGATATCACAGACAATTTTCTCATTGTATTTGCATAGGTAGAAAGAAAATAGTTTGTTGACAATTATTCTCACTTTTTTAATAAAATTAAATAAAAATTTTGAAAGCGCTAGAGAATTGAACTAAAGGCTGGTTCCCAAATGCATAGCTGATATTTTAATTTATATTCCAGTTCTACATAGAGACCATATGTGTAAATCATCTAGGAGGATTTCCCCATTGGTCATTCTTAAACACACCTAGGATCCTTTATTATGAAAAGTATGTGGTACTGCCACCTTTTAAGAAGTTTGTCTTTAAGAGGCCCAGGTGCTTCTCCTTATGACTTGACAGTTTGCCTCTTCAGTTAGTACTACTTGGAGCTGGCGTTGTGATGCAGCAGCACTACATGACACAGGCATGCTGTATCAGAGCATTGGTTGGAGTCCCAGCTGCTCTGCCTCTGGTCCAGCTTCCTGCTAATGTGCCTGGGAAAGCAGCAAAGATGGCCCAGGAGTTGGGCCCCTGCCACCCACATTGGAAGATCTGGAAGGAGCTCCAAGCTCCTGGCTCCAGGCCATTGCAGGCTTTTGGAGAATGAACCAGAAACAGAAGACTCCTCTTTTTTTCTGTTGCTCCTCTGTCCTCCTGACTTTGAAATAAATAAAATCAATCTTTTTTAAAAATGCAGTACTAATTACTGAGAGGGAAGCAGGACAGTTGCTGTTTGGTTTCTGCTTCTGTTTACTCTATGCAGAGTTGCTGCCTGAGTCCCACCAAGCTGCTGTCCAGGGAGTCTTCCAAGGGGAGAAGCAGCTCTAGGTCATGTGCCCCACCAATTCTGCACTTCTGGAGTGGAGCTTACTTTCTGATTTCCTGCAGGGGGAATTTTAGGGATTGAAATAAGTGATTGATGGCCAGCGCCACGGCTCACTTGGCTAATCCTTCGCTTGTGGTGCCAGCACACCGGGTTCTAGTCCCGGTCGGGGCGCCGGATTCTGTCCCAGTTGCCCCTCTTCCAGGCCAGCTCTCTGCTGTGGCCCGGGAGTGCAGTGGAGGATGGCCCAAGTGCTTGGGCCCTGCACCCCATGGGAGACCAGGAGAAGCACCTGGCTCCTGACTTCGGATTGGTGCAGCACGGCGGCCATAGCAGCCATCTGGGGGGTGAACCAACGGAAAAGGAAGACCTTTCTCTCTCTCTCTCTCTCACTGTCCAATCTGCCTGTCAAAAAAAAAAAAAAAAAAAAAAAAAAAAAAAAAAAAGAAGTGATTGTGTAGTCAGATTAAGCCTATAGTTTAAGTTCATGCAGCTTTGTGACCCTTGCAGTAAATGGACCCAGGTGATGAACCACTTACTGGTAAGCTTGTGAAGGAGACACTGCTGAGGGCTGTGTGGTTTTTAGACTGCTTTGTAGCTTTCTATCGAGAATCAGATGTGTGAGCATCTCTAAAGAGTGTTGAATGGAATTTGGGGAAACATGGGCTGTGGATGTTGACTTTTATGTTGTATAAACATAGACAGCTGAACAATACCCCCATAATCCCATGGGAAGACCCTACTTCCTCTCTCTTTCTGTCTCCCCCACCCCTCCAACTTGATTCATTTATGCAGTGCTGTTTCCAAGTCGAAACCATTTTGTCACATTGCTGGCGAGATAATCACTCCTTGTCCTTAACGTTCTGCCAGCTTTCTGATGTTGAAGTGTTTCAGTTGACTACCTGATGGGAAAGCTGTAAAATAAACACTCAGTGGGAAGGGGTAAACACTCAGTGGGAAGGGGGAAGATGGTTTGCTGTCCTGTTTTAATATTTTCTTCTGTAGCCTTGACACTGACATTTTCCAGAGTGGGTGTTCAGGGACATTAATTTAACTCTCAGATACTGTTGCCACCAGCAAGGTGTATGTCATCATTGCTTTGTGAGAATTGTATACTTATTTGTGACAATGCTCTCCCCAAACTAACGTGCCTTTGCTGCTTTTGCTTTGGACTTCACCACTGATGTTGAAATTTCCACTAGAAAATTAACAAGGTATACTTAGGGTATATGCTTAATTGGAAGTAAAATACGGAAAGAGCTATTAGAATAAAAGAGAACTTGGAAAAAATTAATCTTAGCAACATTGCGGCTGGGACGTGTCTATAATGTTTCTTCAAGTAAACACATTTCTAATGATTGGGTTATTTTGCCCTTAGAGGAGAAGAATCTCAATTCTCAGACCCTGGCTCATTGTTCTGAGCAATGCGTGCTTGACTCTTTTCAGATTACATCACTTTGGTTTGACTAAAATACCAGCTCAGTGATGAATTTTCTAAATGAAATTTTCTCTGTATCCAGAGAGGCAGAACAGAAGGCTTGGATTTGAGAGTCGGGTCACCTGCATTTAGCAGTGTGGTGTTTGTAAATGGAGGTGACAGGATTGTGGTACAGGTTTTACGTGACAGATGCAAACTGCTGGCCCAGGGCAGGCTGAGGATCCATCGCATTTATTGGCCATGTTCAGTATTGTTAAGAAGTTAGCATCCCTTCTCACATGGCATAATCCTAAGTGTGTCACTTCAGAAACAATTTTTATGAATATTTTTGAGTGCACTGAATAGTTTTGAGTGATAGAAACCTATTACCTTAATGCTGCCTCACTTGTGTGCGTGTAGCATAGACGGGCCTGGTTCTGACGCACGCTCTTTCCATCTGCAAATCTCCCATGACAGAAAGGGGGAATAGTGATTTTGAAAGGAGACAGCACTTGCTTGTTACAGAAGTGGCCGTGTCCACGTTGTAGGTATACAATGTGGACGGCTAAGTAGTGCACATGCAGAACCCAGGATGCTCAGCACACAGTGAATGACACGCTCATCCTCGACACTTGCTTTAGAGTTAGATTAGTTGATCATGTTAGAATTACAGATTTTTAGGATACCTGGAACATAAACTTTGTATCCAATGATTGTTGCCTACACCTGCATGTTCTCACGGTACTCTTACCATCACAACTATTTTTTAAAGCAAAAGTTGAACTTTCTGAATTTTCTTCCAGTAATAGCAAGCAAAAATACAAACCCTAAATCACTTTCCGTTGGTTTTTGTTCTCTGAAGGACTCCTCTTGCCCCTTACCTTACCTTTTCATTACATCTTGTTTCACCTTTCTTAGCAAAGACCACGGGTGTGGCACCTTGCAGCAATCACTGACTTCAAAATGCAGGTTTCTGCTTTATGAAAAAGCAGTCGAGCAAGCCAGGAAAGATCTGATAGTCATTCCTCACTTTGTGGTTTGCTGTTTTCTTTGAATAGATTGGGACTAACCAAGTAACAATGTTGTAAGATACTTCCAGGACCTAGCTAACATACAGTGGGCTTCTAGGTGATACATTTAGTGCTGAAGAGCCTCTGCAGGGCAGGCATTGGGTGCAGCTGTTAAGATGCGGCTTGGGATGCCTACATCCTGCATAAGTGTTTCAAATCCCTGCTCCTCAGCTTCCTGTTAGTACATCTTGAGAGGCAAGATGATGTCTCCAATGGTTGGATCCTGTCACCCATGTGGGAGACTCACTTGGAGTTGCTGGCTCATGGCTTCAGCCTGGTCCAGCCCTTGCTGTTGTAATGATTTGGAGAGTGAACCAGCAGATAAATGATCTCTCTCACTCTCACTCTACCTTCAATTAGGTGGAAATAAATATTTTTAAATATTCATAAGATCCTCTGGGCCTTTTAATGCAATGCACTTAACTTCATTTCTTAGTTTTAACCTGGAAATAGAAGCATCAGCCTTTCCCAGGTATTCAAATTCTGCACATCCAGGACTCACTAGTTGGCTCCACTGTCTTCCCTGTGATAGACTTCATTTCATGGTGAGTCTGTCCTTTCACTTCTCCAGACACCTAATTGGGTTGGAGGTTAAAGTCAAATTTTCCTATAATAGGCATTGTTGACATTGAGATGCAGTTTTTGAGTTCTATTATATTCCAATTTCAAAGTCATGTTCAACAGTAAGAAATAAGACAGCTAATACTGATCTTAACAGTTGGATGTGTTCTCAGAAATTATAAATTGCTTGTTTGAAGTCAATGAAGAACCAGTGTTAAACGTGGGGACCCAACCCAGAACCATCAGTTTACAGGTTCCTGGCTTGATTCCTTCAGTACAGCACAGGAAAGGATGGGCTGTGTGCTTCCTGAGGCGGATTGGGTTCTGCCATTTTTCCCAAAGGGATTGTTCAGGGTCTCAGTGGATCCCAAGCTAAGCAGTTTAGACTTTTAACCTGTGGGTGGTGGAGGCTGGAGTAGTCACGTTTGAGTCTGTGAACCATAGTTCCAGCAGTGTAAAGTGTGGGCTTATGAGCTGGATGTCAGGACCACAAAACCTGTGAGCAAGTGACCACAGTTGTCAGGGGCAGTGACGGTAAGGTTGGGGTGAAGCAGATCGATCCGAGGCTCGGAAACCCCGCACCTGGGGACTGCTGAGATGCGGTCAGTGAATGAGTGGAGGTGATAACTGAGGTGAGTAGCACATTGGCTCTGTACAAATTTACACCGTCCCTTGCCTTTCCCCCCGTCATTCAATGCTGGTTATGTTCTAAGTCGTTATAGAATAGACCAATGTTTGCCCAAGGAACCTGGGATCACAAAGACAGAATGCCACTGTTGTCCTACCAAATGATTCCCTCACCTCTTTTGTTCATTAAGGTTTTGTCAGCTGGGTTGGGGGTTAGTAAAGAGAGCCCCCGCCCCCCTGCAACTTCCCTACTATGATTTGATAATCATG